TATGCGTTTTTGCTGTGCAGCGCTATAGCAGCGCTATAGCGCTGCACAGCAAAAACGCATAAAAATTGGAATGTGTGGCCAGAGATGTTTCGAACTGTAGTTGAATTTCAATAAAAAGAACGCCTATTTCCTGGGTTTATAGGTGGAGCTGATCGGATCATCAATATTCGACTTCCTTCACCGCGACGACGAGCCTGAATTGAGAAGCATCCTATCCAGCGCGGATTACAAGTTCACCACAAATGCAAACACCGTTCAGCCGTATGTTGAGGAAATCGAACGTATGTTCTTCATTAGGCTGAAATGCGTGTTGCCGAAACGAAATGCTGGAATCGTATACAATGGATATAAAGTAAGCGGATCTGTCTAACGAATTCTAGTCGCCACCACCCGTTCTTCTACTGTTAATAATAACAAGATCGCTTGGACAGTCGGTATGGAATTACATTATCCTTCGTGGCATTGGGATGTTCCAGGCCGAGTCCTTTAATCCTGAGCTGCATAATTCCATTTTTGCCATGAAACTTTATGGCACAGTGATATTCTTCGACCAATGCTTTGCTATTGCTGTAAGTGATTAATGAAGCTATTTGCCTTCACATCTAGCAGACTGAATATAACTGAAAGTTACAAGCTCAGCAGCTTGCTGTGATTTTAGATTCAGCTGTTACTCACAGATTTTCAAAGAAACTGGAATTACATCGAGCGGCAATGAAAATTCATTCGCCTATTTATTTTGTACTTTCAGACAATTAGCTGTTGGGGCTACTCGAAATTATACCATGGAACTGGAAAAGTAACAAACTTGGGCTTGGTAGCTGTTGGCTATATGCTCAGTCACAGTGGCACCACTGAACTCAAACTTTCTTTTTCCACCTTCATGTTTCGAGCTCGTCTCGACCTCAGCCTTATTTTCATCGATTCCAGGTCACTATCCTCATGTTTATTGAGTTTATAACCACACTGCTATTTCTTGGCAATTTCAGAAGATGTTTTTGTTTAAGAGTTTCCTGATCAGTGTGAGATTTCAAAAGTATAAAAGTAATTCTCATGTTTACCTTCATTTCACGTTCGAGCGCCTCAAAAGTAAAAGTGAAATGTTTTGGCAGGAAAAAAGGAAGGCCAAAGGAAACAGGGAATTGAAATTCAACGGGAGTGTTCTTTGTCTATGTATAACCTAAATATTTAAATTCAGCTAATGTACGTCTACATAATTCGTACGGACACTTTGATGGGGAGTGATTCTAAGAACCAGCAAAGTTAGGAAGCTCAAATTTAACACAAGTTTCCTCTATCACACCGACATAATGATTCAAAATTCAGCTTTGAGCTGGCGTGAATCTCACGTGTGAACAAGCGGAATTTCGTGCTGCAGTAGTGTTGGCAATCTTTTGAATCAGGAACAAGATTAAATAGATAGCTGCATTTCACGATGTTTACTGCTTGCGTGTGGTTCAAAAATACTAAAAAAGCTTTCGCGTATGTCTTGCGTTTTAATGTATCAAAATTCCATTCCAAAATTGTCGGTATCCTTCTCTTACAGTAATTAAGCAAAGCCTAAATAACTGTTTTCAAATGTGAAAGGATGGCGCTTTCGGGATGTGGGAGAAACGTTCATTTCCAACATGAGTGCTCATATCAAAATTTGATGCTTTTACTGTTAGCTTTCATTGCTGTACCGGAACTGTACAAAATTCATGGCCACGCTGGCAAACCTGATGCGTGCGGCTGATTATTGTAATTCATGCAGCGGCGCTTCGTTTGCAGAGTGACAGAACTCACTGGCTTCGCACCATCATCACTTCTCGATATGTCACTGTATCAGATGGTGTTTCTGGAAGACGCGCAAATCATCGAGAAAGCTCACAAAATCCGT